CCTCTCGTTCCCCCCCCTGTGCCTCCGGTTCGTCAACCAGACGGTCAGCAACGGAGCGAGGCGCGAGTCAAGGGCTCCGCGGCGGCTTCACAGCTTGCTTGTGATGGATAATTGGCCGACGATCGAGACGACTTACACCATGCGGATGGATAATAGTCGTTTAATTACATCAGGCGTGCAGGCCCTGATGACAAAGCAGGCAGGTGTCGCGGCGAAATTGCGTTATCCGCGGCGTCGACGGCGATTGTCGCGATGTTAGCGCGGCATATATAAACACAACGGCGGTTTAGGCGTGAACCTGTCGCACACCCTTGACGATCGACTGACCCGCGATGAAGCCTCTCCTGGCCACGTTGACGACGATCGCTCTGATCGTCCTGTCGCCGGACACCGTCTGCCGACCGACTGAAGCAGCCAGCGAAGACTGCTGCGGTCCGAACGATCCGAACTACGACACGCTGTTCTGCAAGGAACTCAGGTCCCTGTCGGACAGCCAGCAAGCAAGCGCCAGAGAACGCCTCGGAGAAATCTGTGACTACTGGGCCAATATGGGTAAGCTGAACAGAACACGCCGGTTTTTGACCGCCCACCCTTTCACCGGACACATCGCCATAGCAAAGGGGCCAGCCAGCAGGGTGTTTGACCCTTTGAGTTCTTTTCCTCTCATTTTGTAGCATTCCTTTCTGTGAAATAGACCCGAGCGATCAGCGACGGTGACGCTGAACTGCGGTCACGCGGGACATCGATTTATTGACGAGAACAGTGCTTATGATCACACTCATTTCCTCGAGCCATCGTTGCATGATACCTCACTCGCTGCAAAGTCGACGCACATAGCGTTTTCAAGCACTACCACGGCTGCCACGACATACAGTGACACTGAACCGCATTTTGGCCATTTCTTCGTTTCGCACTTTCAACACAACCCAATCTTTGGAAACGGTTTGTTTTATGCTATCTCCAATTGCCAGTCGAACAGAATCGTCTTTCTGATCAAAGTTAACTGAGGCATATTGAAGTGATTATCAGGGCTCTGAGTCATGGTTATATTTCGATTACCTTATCTTTATGCTAAGACTTTTGGATTAATGAAACGTACTGTTATTATGACAGTTCCTCATTCCTCATTAATGCCCAGGTCTCACAACCAACTGAAATTTTTTTGCATTGCTGTGCTTTTATACAATCTGGTTCTAACTGTCGTCGCTATTGTCTGTTTGCAGCAATATGGGCGTTTTTCTTCTGACGTGTTCCACTCCCCATAACACCGCCTCAAGTGCTTTGGATCACAGGAATAGTCTGAGACGATTCGCTATGACTTCTGCCTGTCAATATTTCAGGATCACTGTATTGTTATCCAAATTTTAACTTGCTTGCTCTTTGGCACTAGTTCATTTCACATGAAATAGATATTTCGCTATGGTCCTCAACAACGCAATATTGTCAGTAAACCGAAGATACTCAAACACTCATTTTTGTCCTCAACAGAGAACCAAACAATTTTCCTCATTTCGCAGAGATAATCGTTGTGCACTCCTTTTGTTGACCAATCATTCACTTAGCCAATCGTATTTCGGTCAGCGCCTCAACAAAGCCAACCCCAAGATGTCCGTACATCCATTATATACATATTTTTAATATTGGAGCACAATATGATCGCTCATTCTTCAACGTAGAGATTTACTGCACTTCGATTAAGCTGGCACGTGTATCCACAAGCGCAGAAATTCACAAGTATTCAAACGGCTACCAGTGAAATCATCAGGCGTGCAATATGGTTCAGCAGTCCTTCATTTCATTACGGTCTTTCTTGTTATTATGGTATTATAGTCCTCCAATGTCCATTTCGTTTTATTTTTTCCAGTGAATTTATGTCCCTTCCACAGAGTCCAGCGTCTGATCTGCAGTCGATGTATCGGTGGTCTTTTTTCCAGTAACCAGTGCCTGTTGTACCTTGCAGAAACTGGGTGCCTCTTTGATCCACTCAAGATATTCTGATCTCTGAAAATGCACATAAAGTGGATTAGCGCAGCTCAGCCTGCTTGTCTCCTTAAACATGACAGTCAATGCGAGACCCCGCTAGTAAATGTAAAACGAGCATGTTATCCTTTGGACCATGCGCAGTCAGTTTGTAATTCACTATGTAGGCACAATCACCGGGTGAAGCCAAACGACAGCGGAAATTACAAAACTGGCAAGGTCGATTAAGGTTAAAATGCACCAGCAGTTACGGTGGATTTCAGACTTCTGATCCTTCTCCTGATCCCGCTCAAGAATGAAAAACGGCGGTTCCACTGTTGTTCAACTTTGGTCTGAAAATATTCTTTCCCTTTGAAGTTGTGACTCACTAGCCTCACTGTATTCGGCAGTATCGAAAGCCTCACTTACACGCATATTGATTGTCGAAATAACGCATAATTTCTTCAAAACCAGATTTTACCCCTTATTATACCGTCTCCTTGTTCCTAATAATATGCACTACACACCAGCTTCTAAGGGTAAAGAAAAACGGAACATTCCTCGCTTCTGAGTCGAGTCATGAAATAGATGGGTCGAAACCAGGTCAAAATAAGCTGTAGTGCATAAACTTTATCGTTATTATGGTGATTCCTTCAGAACAGTCAAATTCACATCTTGCTGACCTGGATGACTTTGAGGCCAATGTGTTTAATAGAGTATATAATGGGTTGGGTGATTAACCGAAATGATAAGCTGGAAGTTTAGAGTTAGCTGAAGCGTGGAAATTTCATATAATCATCATTAACGTCTTAAATTATCAAATGGCTTGTTGATGATGTCGTATGTTGTTGCTTGCCCGTCAGGGTCTGTAGATACTTAACACGTGAACTCCATATGGCGATATTGGTGTTGGAGTTGCGTAGTAATGAATGCGAAGTTTTGATCTAGGAGATCAGCGTTTTACTCACAGTCGAGAGTTCAAGCCTCAGTCAGGTCACTCGCCCCTCGTTCTTCCAAGATTGATAAGTGAGTATCACGTCATAACAAGAGAAACAGGACACTACACACTCTACTTGTCAGACAGCTGTAAACATTATATATTTAGAATAACGCATGTCTGACTGATGACATGGAAACGAACATCATAGCCTCACCATAGGCTTCAAAAAGAAGGGCACCACAAATAGCGCCAAATGTAGAAGTATACATGTTAACGGTATTCCAAACTTTCCTGTTTCCTCCTTTTCTACGAGCAAACATTCTTGAGACAAACAAGTAATCGCTTAGAACTGTCTTCTGCGAAAACGATAAAAATCGCCTCATATCAAACGCACCTTCTTGCCCTCCTGCAGATGGACTTCCTTATTTCAGGTGTCCTGCAGTCTAAAAGAACAAATGGCACTCACCTATGTTACAGCCCAAAATCTGAAAGACCCTTTGTATAGGCATGCAAGTCGCGGTAGCGCCGTCGGCGAATTTATTTGTCATTCATGCTTCAAGCGCAGGCAAGGGAATGCTACCTCACACGATGCGCTTCAAGTTATGATTACCTCGACAAAGGCAAGGCAGTCAGAGAATTAAGTCCATTTAAGTCAAAAATGGAGAACAAAGGCGTAATAAGTTACCAGGAACGCTTACATTAGAATTAGGCAGCGAAGAAGCAATAGCCAAACGTTTCGACCTTCATCGTAGGTCCCAGTAAATGATCGATCGTTATGCACTGGAGCCGTTGCCTGTTGAGGTTCGACCCTCCTCAGGCACCTAAGAGGAAGGGAGTGGTGCCATACGCTGAGAATTCTGATATTGGAGGAGTTCGGCGTCAACCATAGCATGATCGAATACATTCATCAGAGAAGTTTGCCACATGCGAAACTTTGAAACGACGGTCAGACTGCTGGATTCACTATGCTTCTTGTCACTGCAGGCAATCTGCTGCTCAGTGCTTGAGGACACCAAACGGAAGCTAATGACTAAACGTATCATTCCCACATTTAGCGCCTATCGTTACCACAGCAAGAACCAAACATGTTTGTTTTTTCAATTATGAATTAATATCGAACTGTCTTCAAATATCATGAAATCAATCATTTGACTTGTACTCGTTATGGGTGCGTCATGAGCGCAAATCGACATTCCTACAGTATTCCTCTATCGTTCGGTTTCTGCTCGATTGCTGGCAAAGCTACTTGACCATCGGATCGTCCAGTATGACCAGCACAACAGAGTGGACGTTTGAGGTCCAGCGGAACCCTGTGTTATAGCTCCTGACATTTAACGGCTGGCTCTAAGAACAGCCATATGGCCGAATCGTTTTCTCTTCGCATGGTAGAAAGAAAACGTCTTGGAGGCAAACCCCGCCTATTCCTCACACCCTCTGCGTGATGATCAGTTTCGCTTCTCACACTTAATAGATAACCGAGTCCCAGCTCCCCTAACTGTACGCTAAGCTCATATGTCATAGCAGGAGGGATGGTTCAACTGAACAATTCGCTTTTAACAACGCATGGACAGCTCATTATCGACAAATCTCTCATGTCTAACGCTGGCCCACACCGTCCTCCTTCTTCCAACGTATCACGTAATATTAGTTTCAAAATTTAAATCAATTTCTAAATCTGCATAATATCACGGTAAGCGTTACAGGCCTACATCGTAAGACAAGTGGATCATTCATCGTTTGCCTGATTAAATAACAGTCGACAATAATTAGAAGCAAGTAAATAAAACCAAGCTGCCTTGAGGTAGAAGGGCTGTTTAAATCGTCGTATCCATGCTTTTTGCCGTATACACTGTTCAGATAAAATTGTACTTCTTAAACAAAGTTCGCGGCTATCAGATCTAACGCTAGCCACCCCTGATTGTTGGCATAAACTAAATAAATTAGATAAATTTGAGTTACATACTACAGACTTTATCGTAATGAATGGAAAACTAATCACACGAATAAAGAATACTATACCAACTAGAGGTATTATCATCCACCGAAGAAGTGTAAGGGCGACTGACATTAAGAGTCATCAGTTTTCTCCACTTTTCTTACTGTAGTACGTTCAGCTTATTTACCACGTGGTGTTACCAATGACTCTCGACGTGAAAACAAACATCCCGAAATGGCATTGTACCTGTCACCATGTCACCCAGGGCTAAACAGAGTTGAATGGTAGATTGTCATGTGCAGCAATGCCTGAATTCTAGTCTAATTAGCATTCATTTTAGTTTTCATGACTATTACGAGTGCATTCTCACACGCTAGGCTATATCTAACATCTACGAAATGAGTTATTTCCAATCAATGGTCATTACACTTTTGCGGCACCATGGATACGTAGTTCTTATTGTGTTTGTATAATTTGCCGTATGTTACATAAGATGGGCGACCAAGGGGCCATACTGTAGTTCTTTTCTCATTGATGCACAAATTCGAACTCACGCCAGTGAAGCTGGAGCTCACCAGAATGGTCCTTACATGATATGATTTGCATGAATGATCTTAAATGCATGGTCAACGCACATTCTTGTCTGTCCTCACTTGCCTTTAAACAGATACCTAGCAGGCATAAGTCCGCGTTTATAACCTCATGAGTTATGCGCATTTCGTAACACATTGCTTCACCTACTGGACTCCTAAGATGTACTTATAGTCACAGAAGTAAAATATCGCAATACGACGTATATTATTTATTTCAC